TGTTTTAACAACTAAAAGGGATCTTATGTGATGCATGACGGTAAGCTAGGGTGTTAACACTCGATGCTAGGCCGCTGATTGTTATTAGATTGTTCATTTGATGAATATTATGGATTATTAAATGATTGTTGAACTAAGAATATGAATTAATGAATAATGTTGTTAAGGATATCTAGAAGAACTCTAAAGATATACCCACTTGTATAATGATGATGATTATTAAGGATATCTAGAAGAACTCTAAGATATACCTCCTTGACCAATTCATATTTCGGGGTTAAAACGTACGTACGGGATCCAGACCGGATATCACCCACCCGACAAATCATTGTTCGGTTGGTACGTAATCCACACGACTCATAGGGTGGATTATCGATTCTTGTGTTCTGCATTAAACTATTTATAGTTTAAGGGTCTGGTTAGAAATGTTGCCTTAGACTAGGAATAGCTAAGAGCTTGTTATAAAATGATTTGGCCTCAGATTAAGAATAATTTAAGAGCATGGTTGAGATATTGAATATCGAATGACTTGGAATAAAATATTGAGAATATCATGAATGTTTGAATCATGTATTGTGTGCATGATATCAAATGGTTGATTATGAATTGAGATTCAATTTATTTGGATGTTCGACGCTTTAGATATGCTTACTCAGCTTCATCGCTGAGCGTGTAGTATGTTTTATTTGCTACACCCAGGTAGACAGAATGAGTGAATGGCATGTTCTTGGCAGCGGAAGGGGCGAGACAGTCGTGGTGGATTTATTGAGAAAATAAATGATTCTGTTATTATGAACCATGTTTAAAAATCGCTTCCGCATTAAACACTCTGTATTTACTACAATTATGTTTGGAATTTCATTTATGATGAATAAAGTTATTTGAAATGTTTTAAATTGTACGATTACCAAGTTAATACTTTAGTTCGGAAGGGGTTGTAAACCTGGACGGATTAGGGTGTTACAGTCTTTGGAGAGGAAAGGCAAAGCCTGTCCTAATGGTGGAGGATAATGCATTGGCAAAGAGAGGTGGGTCACGTCCGCCGGCCGGGAAAAGAGGCAAGGGGTCCAAGAACCCCAAGACTAGTTCTAGCCTCTCTGCGTAGAAGCCTAAAGCGGGACCGCAAAAGAAGAAGAAATTCGATGCTGTCTGTTACGATTGTGGCAAGAAAGACCACTAGAGGCGCAACTGCGCAAAGCTTATGGCAGAGAGGAAAGCGGGCAAACACGCCGTCACCTCAGGTATTTACGTTATCGAAGTCAACATGTCTGATTTCACCGCTTGGGTGATTGACACTGGGTGTGGTTCTCACTTCTGTACTTCTATGCAGAATCTGCATGAGGTGAGACAGTTGACAGTGGTCTTATGTTGCAATTAAACAGTGTTTTGTTTGTGCTTGCAATTAGCAGGAATATTATTTCTATCTCCTTCCTTGACAAAGCAGGATATTCCATTGTTGTAAAAGACAAATGTTTGAATGCTTTCAGAAATGATATGTTTTATGCAATTGCTCGAATGACCAATGGGGTATATGTCTTAGACTTATACGCCCCTGTATACAACGTAGATGTTAAGAGAAACAAGCCTAACGGTTTGAATCTCACGTACCTCTGGCATTGTCGTTTCGGCTACATTAACGAGAAATGCATATCTAAGTTACGTCACTTTGGCGTCCTTGATTCATTTGACCTTGAGTCTTATGTTGTATGCCTATCTTGTTTATTCGGTAAAATGACAAAGGCTCCATTCACCGGTCACAGTGAAAGGGCGAGTGGTGTATTAGGCCTCATACACTCTGATGTGTGTGGCGCAATCAACACTGAAGCTAGAGGTGGTTTCTCATACTTCGTCACATTTATTGACGACCTCAGTCGATATGGATATGTGTATCTTTTAAGACACAAATCGGAATGCTTTGACAAGTTCAAAGAATTTAGAAACGAAGTAGAGAAACAATTCGGAAAAAGTAGAAAGACACTCCGTTCGGATCGTGGAGGTGAGTACTTGAGTCTAGAGTTTGATGACTATCTACGAGAGCACGGGATTGTATCCCAGCTCACTCCTCCTGGCACACCCAAATTAAATGGAGTTTCAGAGAGGAGGAACCAAACCTTACTCGATATGGTTCGGAGTATGATGAGTCTGACAACACTGCGAGAGTCCTTTTGGGGCAAAGAACTATTAATAGCAGCACACACACTCAATCGCGTACCATCTAAGGCTCTTAAGAGCACACCATACGAACTATGGCGTGGGGCGAAACCGAATTTGTCATACTTGAGGATTAGGGGTTGTGATGTTTACGTTAGACGCCTCATGAAGTCTGGTAAGCTGGATTCCAAATTTGACAGGTGTAAATTTGTGGGATACCCCAAGGAAATGAAAGGGTATGAGTTATATCATCCGACCGATAACAAAATCTTGGTTGCTCGGAATGGAACCTTCTTTGAGAAGGAGTTTATCTCTGCTATTTCTAGTGGAAGAAAGGTAGATCTCGAAGAAATTCGAGAACCACAAGAAGAGATCTCAATAGCAGTGGAACCCGAGCGTCAAGCTTTTGTATCTCGACCGGCTCAGGTTTTACCACGTAGGTCACACAGGATGGGTAATCCTCCGGTTAGATACGGGTTCCTTGTATCTGATGAAGGTGACGTTTTACTGGTAGACTAAGGCGAACCTGAGACCTACCTCGAGGCAATGACGTGCCCCGAATCCAAAGAATGGCTTAATGCCATGAAATCCGAAATGGAGTCTATGTACACAAACCAAGTATGGACCTTGGTTGAGGCGCCCGAAGGGATAAAACCCATAGGGTAAAAGTGGATTTTCAAAAAGAAAACAGACGTAGACGGGAAGGTTCATACCTTCAAAGCTAGATTGGTAGAAAAAGGTTATAGACAAATCCATGGAATTGACTATGACGAAACCTTTTCTCCAGTTGTGATGCTGAAGTCCATTTAGATAATGCTTGCGATTACAGCGTTCCACGATTACGAGATTTGGCAAATGGATGTCAAGACGATTTTCCTTAAAGGGAACCTCAAAGAGGATGTCTATATGACACAGACTGACGGTTTAACAATTGCTGGTGAATCTGCCAATGTCTGTAAGCTACAACGGTCAATGTACGGATTGAAACAAGCATCTCGGAGTTGGTATATACGCTTTGATGAAACCATCACTAGTTTTAGTTTCAAGAAGAATTCTGATGAGTCTTGTATTTACAAGAGGGTCAGTGGGAGTGTGATAGTATTCCTAATCCTATACGTCGATGACATATTGTTAATGGGTAACGATGTTACGGCTCTTACATCTGTAAAGACTTAGTTGAGCGAGAATTTTGCCATGAAGGACTTGGGGAATGCTAGTTTTGCCCTTGGCATAAGAATCTACCGTGATAGGTCAAGAAAGTTGATAGGTATATGTCAAAGTACATATATAGATAAGGTCCTTGATCGATTTAGCGTATCTAACTAGAAAAGGGGATCCTTACCTATGTTACCTAGCACGGCTCTTTCCAAAAGCTAGAGTCCTTCTACTCTCAAGTAGAAGGAACTCATGATGAAGGTCCCACATGCTTCTGCAATTGGTTCCATCATGTATGTCATGATATGTACTACACCTGATGTCGCATTCGCTTTAAGCGTGACTAGCAGATACCAGGCGAATCCAGGTGAAGCACACTGGATAGCGGTCAAGAACATCCTGAAGTATCTTTGGAATACTAAGGATGCATTCCTGGTATATGGAGGTGAGGAAGAGCTTAAAGTGATTGGTTACACTAATGCAAGCTTCTAATCTGATTGAGACGATTACAAGTCACAAGCAAGGTATGTGTTTTGCCTGAATGGCGGAACTTTTAGCTAGAAGAGTTCTAAACAGGACACAACCGTTGATTCAACTACAGAGGCTGAGTACATGGCTGCTGCTGAAGCATCAAAGGAAGGTGTTTGGATAAAGAAGTTCATTACTGAACTTGGAGTGGTTCCTAGCATTAATGACCCAATCCCGTTGTTCTACGACAACACTAGGGCCATCGCACATGCAAATGACTCACAATCTCACCAAAAGACCAAGCACATTGTACGATGTTATCACATCATACGAGAAATCGTAGACAGAGGTGATGTGGAGATTTATAATTTAGGAACAGACGACAATATAGCCGACCCCTAACCAAGCCCTTGGGAAAGCTAAAGTGGTGAAGAATTTTTTGGTTTAACGCAAAATTCCCGTAGTAGTAAAGGGAACAGACTAGATCTTCTAAAAGATCAGTTTATCCCGTGTCGTCTCAAGGATCGGCCCAAGGGAAAGTTAAGAAAGACTAGTTAGACAAGATTTACTCGATGAATCAAAAAGTTTTCAAAAGGTCGAATAAGGAATGGAGATTGAATTTTTATCTTTCAGAAATAAAAGGTAGGGATGTAATTATTGGTTAGGTGATGGTTCTTTTTAGAGTAAAATCACCAGTTACTTTTACCTTAAATCATTTTACTAGTAAGTAAACATCTCTTCAAATATTTACTTAACAATCAATCCAATATCTAAAGATCAATTATCAAACTACTGGACTTGACTTAATTAAATTCCAGATTTCTCAAGAAATATAATTTTCAAAAGTAGATTTGCTTTCTCTCGATTTACAAATCTCAAGTATAAATTCTCAGTAATAAAAACTAGTAAATTTCCTTTTATAATTCAAATCAATGATTTTCTCAGAAAATTACCATCACCATTCCAATAATCACATCACCAATTAATTTAGCTACTCATAATAAAAACTTCCAACACACATGCATCATAAAAAGATATTTTTCAGTTGATAGCAAAAAGTTAACAAACTTACTTCAACAAATCTGAAGAATTGAGGTCTGGGCTACAATTTGCTTCGTGAAAACGCCAAAGAATAATACTAATCTAAAATATGAAAGTAGCTTCGTAAATCTAGACTAAAAATGGAGAAATTCGGGTTTTTGGGAGAAGAGGGGCGCTGTGCAGCGTGTGAAATCGGAGAGGGGGAGTGCTGTATTTATTGGATTAGACGCGAAGCGTCCAACCCCCAGCCGTCCAGATCCAAAGCGTCCAAAGTTGGACGCCTTACGCGGCCCGTCCGTTCGCTGCTTGCCACGTGTCTTTCTTGACGCCCAATCATCGCCAAGCGTCAAAGGGGAAGCGTCCAGCCCGCAAAGCGTCCAAGGTTGGACACTTCGGGCCCTCTCCTGTGGGCCTTTTCCGCAGCTTGATCCAATTCGGGCCCAATTTTAAATTTTCACTTTGCTTCGAAGTCTGTTTCAGTTTCCTCCAAAATTCTCATGATAAAAATCTCAATTAAAAACTTCTTCTTTTTTTCTTTCAAATATAAGTAGAAAAATAAACAATCAAGACTAGACAAATTTTAAACCAATTATTATTCCTTAAAGAACAAATCAAAGATATTGTTTAGTTTAACATAAAATTATGCACTGCTTATCACTATTTTCGTGCAATAACGCTTAAAATATGTAGAATAAAATAAGAACAAAATGAACTTATCAAATTTCTCACACTTAAACGTTGCTTGCCCTCAAGCAACAACTTCAGACCACTGAGGGTATGACATTCTATTATTATTGCTGAAAAGAGATTTAATTGCATCATTATGAGGCCAATTCAACTAACATAATCATCAGACTTCGTTAAATAGCTATACTTTTAGAGTTGTCTCTCATTTCTTCTGAAAATTTGCCAAGTTTTCACCAAACACGTATTTTACTTGATTAAATCAAATAGAAGCAAACCATTTACTGAAATGAATGTATTTCTTAAAAGAATTGTTAAGATCAAATAGACTCAACTATCTCTTCTAAAGCCCATTGTTCACGAATAATTGCCAATAATGTAAAGGCCTTAATAAGTTCAATTTGTGTTGTTTCTTGATGGAAAGGCTTCTCATTTCACAGAAACTTAAATATTTCACCAAGATTGTGGATTTATTCTATGTCAGATGCATACTTGCTCCCTCGCCTTATGCGATTAGCGGGAGAAGCAGAGCCCCTTTTCAGGAGATAGAATTTCCAATTCGTCACTTAAGCGCAATCTTAGCAAAAATTCATGATTAAAGGTACAAGAAGCAAATATTTAGTGCAGACCTTTACACATTGTTAAGAATTCTAGTGAAATCTATTAGAATAAGTGACCAACGCTAGAGGGGGGGTGAATAGCGTTTGATCGTAGAAATCGTAGGAATAAAAAATTAAGAACGTGAAAGATAAAGAGCGTAGAAAGCGTAAAGGGAGCACACCAAGATTTACCCTGGTTCACCACAACTTGTGGCTAATCCAGCCTCCGAGAGACTCTCTCGAGCTACACTACTTCCGTTAAGCTTACGGGTGCTTAACAAACCGTTACAACCTGAGAACTCGAGTCCCACGAGCCTCAACAACACTTGCTCGGAGATGCCGCACTCCAAGACTTCAACCCGAAGGAAAATACCTTTCCTTCGTACAACCAAGGGAAACAAGCTTCCCTTAACGTGTATACAACACTAAGACACTCAAGAACAAGGCTCTCTTTTAGAGTAGATGTTGAGTAAACTATATACGCTCAAGAACAACAAAAATTTCACAAATTGGCTCTAGAAAGCTATGAAAAATGATGTTGTTTGAATGCAATGATGATATGAATATTGTGAAGTGAATTGATGTGTAAAGCAGACCCAAACACCCCTTTTTATAGTTCCAAAATAGGCTCCAACAGACCAATACATTAAAGGGGTGATTGACTTGATTTATGAGATTGAATAAATTTGGGATCTGTAGGACATTGGCTTCCCAGCGATGCATGGACCTTACCCATCGCTGGTAGGCCAATTTTCCTTCAATTTTGAGGCCAACGGTCACCTACACATCGATGGGTAAATGCTTCCCATCGCTGGGTGGGAGGTTGACTTTCAAACAAGGAAAGAATCTGCCTTAAATGACTTACAACGGTCATGCCTTCCCATCGATGGTTAAGCCTTCCCATCGTTAGGTTCCCATCGATGTGTAAAGCTTCCCATCGCTGGGTAAGGGCATTCTGCCTTGTGATAATGTTGGACCAAGGCTTTAACAGCGATGGGTAGAACCTCCCATCGCTGTTTGGCATGGTTCTGGAAGTTTGTTTGGCAAAGGGGCCGCTTACCCATCGATGGGATGTTCTTCCCATCGCTGGGTGGGTGGTTAGCCAAAAACCTATGGTTTTTGCCTTAACCACGGCCTAGCCAACCGATGCAAAAACCAACCGAAAAATCCAAAGTTCTCCAAAATAAAAACCAAGTGTTTAAAACACTTATTTGATGTATTTGGCTAAGAAATCAAGTGAGTTACTTTAAAACCACGTCATTTGAGTAAAAACCACGGCTAGCCACGTTTACGCCGTTTTGCGTGGTTTTTGTCAAACGACTAAAAGCAAAAGATTGTTTTTAAAGTGTGTTTGTTGGAGAACCGTTTAAACATGCCAAAGAGTGAAAGCATATCATAAAATGCTGAAAACCACTTGGTTGGTTCGGATGCCAAAAACCAAAGCCGACAACCGAAAGCCGAATGCCACTGGATGGCTTGGTTTTTTGTTTGGGCGAACACCAAGTATTTTTAATGACATAAACAAGTTTGAAAAACATTTTTATGATGTAAGAAATGCAATGAGAGATTTTAGCCTAAAGAGCCAAGGTGTAAAGATTGGGTCGGTCTAGATCACAATAACGACCGACTCAATACTATGACTAAGGTCTTCGTTCTTGGTCTTTGTTTAGCTCTTGCTCTTATCTTCGTTCTTCGCCTTGTATATTCAATGTTCGACTTCATCACGGCAGTTTGGCATTATCAAAACCTGTTACAAAAACGAACACGGCTTTAGTACGAGAACGTGACAAGCCCGTGTTTCAAAAAAATCAATAGTTTTTAAAGGTAATTAAAGTATCTGACTTAAAAAAAACTTTTAAGAAAATACTAGTTAATTTCAGCAATGGTAGTAGTCTATTCGAAAAAAAAATCACGTAAAAATAGGAGTTTGCCAAAACCTTTGAAAATTCTCAGTTTATATGCTTGACACCCTATCAATTAACTATTCAATATTAGACTGATGATTATGCTAAAACCAAAGTGGTCTACAAGTATACAAGTAAAACACGTTTCATTCGATCATTTCAACCAGGTAACTTTCCTCCTCACACTTGAACACAACTGCGTCCCCGCAGTTGGAAAAAAAAATGTTTAGGAGTATAATAATGGGTTGGGATGATTGACTAATAATAAAAGAACTCACACATCAATAAACCAAAAGGAGTTGATTGAAGTAGAAATAGAGCAAGTGCATAAGTAAATGTTACCGGTGGAAAATAAGAAGTTCCAACAATCCAGTTGATCATCAATTCCTGCTCATAAACGAAGAGAAATAGTTTTCAAAGGAAAATAATATGAAGATCACTAAGGGGGAGGAACAGAAGCGGATGGATCGTCGCCCTCAGGAGAGCGAGGGGTGAGCCCAATGTGCACATCTGAGTAAAAGCCAGTAAAGGTCCTCCGANGTGCCCGGCCTGACTGCTGCGGACGTGGTCTCTGCTGATTATTTGCTGCTGTAGACTGCTGACTCCGTGCTGGATGTGATGTGGCAGGCTGATCCGGAGCTCTAGGAAAAACAGGCTCGCTGCTAGGGTTTGTCGGGCAATGCCTCCTGAAATGCCCTGGCTGACCACAACCCAAACATAAGCCTTGGGCGAGCCAACACTCGCCCGGGTGATGCCTACCACACTGTACAGACTGCGGGTGGGTCCTCGTTCTGATCGAGTTGCTAGCGGCGGCCAACGGAGACGGCTTCGACTTACTCCTCTTAGGCGGCGGCGCACTCGAAGAACCCTTCTCGTACCTCTTTCCCCCGAATCCAAAACTCTTCCCGCTCAGCCCGGTACTGGTCGCGGGTCGCGGGTCTTTCGTCGCTCGATCCTCCTTCTTGGTTGCCTACAAATCGTCCAAGCTCTTTTCCGTCTTCGCAATCAAATCATACGCCGCATTAAAATCTGTCGTCGTGATCAGCGCGGCGTACGGCCTCAAGTCTGGCCGTTGCTTCTTGACGAACTCATTCAAACGATCCTCCGGAGTGGAGACCAGACTCATCGCATACTGGGACAGGTAGTCGAACTTCTATCTCAGTTCAGGCAGTGACATCCCCTCCTGCTTAAGCGCAACGAACTCATCGCGCCTCTCATCGCGGTACCGGGTGGGGACGTACTCCTTCGTGAAGGCTCGATCAAAGCGATCCTAGGTCCATGGCTTGGGCGTGTGTGGATCCTGGTCAATGCGCTTCCACCAATCATATGCTCCCTTCCGGAACATCTGTGACGCCAACTCCGAGCGATCAGCATCTAGGACTCTCAAATTCTTGAGTACCCGGTCCATCTGCTTAAGCCAATCCAATGCAATCTGGGCTCCCCCATCTTGTCTCCTCAAAACTCTTCCGCTCCATTATCCTTCAATGTCTTGAAGGTAACGATGCGCGGCTGCGGCTGTGGTGGCGGCGGTGGCTGGAACATGGGCATAAGCTACGCCATGTGCTGCATATAATGGGCCGTCATTGCCGGGAACATCTGCTCGTAGGCCACCTGCGGTATCGCCAACGGGGGCATCACTGGAGGTGGTACGGCTGGCGGTGGTACAGCTGGTGGTTGTCCCGCTGGCTCTGATTGATTCTGCTGTTGCCCTCCGTCACCCGGAGGTGTGAAACTCGAACCCTCGGTGTTCACCATGTGCACGCTCACGTGCTCCGGCTCCGGAACGTACTGACCATGGGTCGATTCTTGACTCATTCTAAAATAATTCCCAGGGCAGAGGAGTTACGTGAGATGGAGATGCGGCTGAATTATTCATTGTATTTTATTTTGAAAGGGTCCAAAGACCGATTTTAAAACCAAATGCTCCGATACCAAAATGTAACACCCCAACCCGCGTAACCCAAACCCGTGAGACCGCGGACCGGTGTGCCACTGTATTGGTATCCGAATATACAACATTTTCAAACAATTTTAAACAAACGTTCTTTCAATACATATAAAAATCCATCGGAGTAATTTAAAATAATGCGGAAGCCTTTTTAAAGTCAAACAACTTGGGATCTTGCCCGAAAACGTAATAAGCATTAAAGTTAATTAAATAAAGCATAACAACAGATTAAAGAGACAGCCACGCCATCGTACATCTCCTCCTCAATGCCCTCTGGGATCGGCTCTAGGTTCATCTGTCTGATCACCTACGGAGAGCAAAAAGGAAAACAACGCTATCCGCTCAGCATTGATGCTGAGTGGCACTCCATTGTAGCACAAGAATAAACATAATAATTCAATGATTAAGATCGCGCATATGTTTATCCTTTTAATAAAAATCAATTCAACTTTAAATTCGGTTCTTTAGACGGTTGACCAACAGTCAACTTATTTTCTTTCTTTTCAAAACGATTTAAGTGTCAAGGATTTCTCATTAACTCTTTGACCACCGGTCAAACCAATTTAGACTTTCACGAAAGTCAAACCACTTAACATTTAATGCCTGTGACGGAGATAGCCTCAATCCGTAATACCGAAGATAGCCTCAATTCGGTGGAGGTAGGATCCCTCGGGCGATAGCCTCAAACCCAAGATCACAGACCCTCGTGCGCACGTCTTAACCTCACTGACCAGGCCCTGCAGCCGCCCGAGCAATGACCAGTTTCTATGTTCGACATAATAAACCAATTGATCTTATCTACTAATTAGAATTAATTAATTAACTTAATTAATTCAATAAAGTCTTGGATTTAACCATTAGGTCAAACCTACTTCAACAGACTATCCAGTCAAAGTCCAAGTCAAACATGACCTAACCCAAGTCAAAGTCAAACCTGTTCAGTCAATTCAAACAATCAATTTAATTCAATTAACCAATTTAGCCAAATTATAGCATAAACACATATAACGATCCAAACCATTAAATCTATTCTAAACGCTATTAACTTCATAGTACGGACCTGGATTACGCAGAAATCGAATCGATAGCTCGAACGGGTCAAATTGAGTCAAAATACAAAATCGACCAATCAATCCGGCGTGGAGGTTAATCTGCCGGCGATATCAATCCAGGGTAGTGGCTGGGTGCGGCGACGGTGGCGGACGCCGGCGACAGTGGCGAGGCGGCAGCAGCTCCCAGAAATCACGAACAGAGGAGCAGCTCCGGTGATAGCCTCTGTCCGGCGAAATCCCTAGCTGAGCTAAGGGCGACGGCGGCTGGAGGCGACTGGCGGCGCTGCACTCGACGGCGAGGAGCGGCGGCTACTGGCAAAGGAGAAGTAGCGCGATTGGAGACCGTCGTCGGCGGCACTGACCCTGGCAGTGGGCGACGGACTTCCGGCGAAGGAAAGGCCGCAGTTGGCTGGTGCGGCGAGGAGGCGGAGGTCGATCGGCAGGGGAGGACGACCGACGAAGGAAACAGCGGTGATTGGCGGGGAAGGGCGACCGGCGATGAGCGGCGTCTGGCTCGGGCGACGCCGGCGTGGTCGAACGGGGATGACCGGCGGCGATTAAAGACGAAGAAGGAGAAGAAGAAGAAAGAAATAAGAAGAAAGAAAGAAGAAAGAAGATAACGATTGTGCGGCTGAAAATAGTTTAGGTTTTATTTAATGATCCCATTCCTAAAAGGATTGGGCTTCGGACCCAAAATACCTGATTAAATGGTCATAACATGAGCTCCA